ATTTACACATATGTAGGGTTTTTTAAAGGTGCTATTGTAAATAAGATTGTTTTCTTTTGTTTTCTAGATAGCTTGTTGTTACTGAAATACTATTGTTTTTTGCATATTAACTTCATGTCTTGAAATTTTAATGAATCCTTTTATTAGTTCTAACAGTTTTTCCTGTAGAGTCTTTAGAATTTTCTTTTGTGTAGAAGACCATGTTATCTGCAGATAGAAGCCACTTAACTTCTTTTCTTCTAATGTGGATGCCTTTCATCTCTTTCTCTTGCCTCACTGTGGCTAGGACTTCTGGGTCTATACTGAATATAAGTGGTAGAGGTATGGACCTCACTGTCTTGTTCCTGATCTTAGGAACGCTTTCAGCCTTCCACCAATGACTGTAATGTTGGTTGTAGGATTCTAGCTCTTTGTTGTGTGAGGTTCATTACTACTACACCTAATTTGTTGAGGGTTTTTTATCATGAAAAGATTTTGAATTTATTGAATGTTTTTCTGTACGTATTGAAATCATGTGAATTTCACCTCTATTCTGTTGATCAAAACATACTGTGCTTGTATTAAAAATTATTATAGTAAAACATATTGCCATGAATCCTTCTCAAAAAATAACTCTCCCTAACTTCAAACACATTCAAGCCATCATTCTTGACATTTTCTGAAGAGAACCTGAAAGTCATTTTGTGTGTGCCTTTATGAAGTGTGATAAAAAAAATATACAGTGAATCCTGCTGTCGAGTGCATCCAACAGAAAGGCAGGCTCATAAGAACATGATGCTGTGTCCTCATCCACCTTATTCATCAGATTTTGCACTGTGTAACTTCTGGCTCTTCCTCAAAGTCAAAATGACCGTGAAAGGGAAATGTTTTGAATCAGTTCAGGATATGGAGGCAGTCGCAACAGAGTAACTAAAGACACTCAGGAAAGAGGACTCCAGAGCTGCTGCTGAAAGTTGCCAGAATGATGGAATGAGTGTGTTCAAGATGGGTGGGATTCGAGGGGGATTCGTAGCAATGTGTCTTTTACTATAATATATTCTTTAAAATGGTTTAATAGTCACCATATTTGTTGATCACACCATCCCATCCTGAACCACCCTTGCATTTGAGGAATAAATCTTTCTTTCTCATTATTCTCTAAACTAGAAAAATCTCACCTCACAGTTAAAGGCTGTAGAGACTGGAAACAAATGGTGGCTCCGAGGAGATTTAAATCCAATAGGGACCCAATAATTAGGGAGAGTGCTATCACAGAAGAAGGCCCAAGTCTCCTGAGATGTAATAGGAACCACCAAGAGAGCCTGGAGTCTTGCTGGGGAATGCTATGGTCCGTCTGAGTCTCTCCTCCCCTCTCCTCCCCTCCTCCTCTCCCTTCCTATTCCCTTTCCTTCCCCTTCCCTTCCTATCTTAGTTACTTCTCTTTTGTTGCTGAAACAAAATACTGGACACCCAAAGTTAAAAGAGGAAAGGTTTATTTAGCTCACAGTTTGTAGAGGTTTTGGTCCATACTCGGCTGGCTCCAAGGCAGAAGGACGTCACAGAGGAGAAACAGTTTATGGCAGCACAAGGTAGCAAAAGCAACAAGGGACCTTAACAGTGTCTTTCTGCCCCTTTTACCTTATCCAGACTTCTTAGTGTGAATAGCACTCACACCCTTAATCCTAGTGCCCTTGAGCCTAGCATTGCACTGTGAGTCAGTCACGCACTCTAGATCCAGCCACCTCTGAAAAGCCCCACCTATGACGGTGTGAGGCTTTGGGGGGACATCCAGACATGAGCCATGACACCATCCCTGCCCTCTCCCTGGCCCATCCTCAGCCACTCCCTGTCTGCCTCCCCTTGGAAGTTCCTCCCTGAGTTGGCCATTAGCTCGATTCATGTGTAATAACTCCCTGAACACTACATGGAGGTAGAAACCATCCAAAGGGAAATGAGCAGAGTGGGCCTCACCTGTACACAGATGTGTCCCTCACCTGGATCTCTCAGGGGAGAGCAGGGGGCACGAGTCTTTCTCCTGGGACTTAGCATGTGCATGTGTGAGGGCTCCAGGTCAGGGGAGAGCTCACGAATCTCCATGCTCAGCCAACAAAGGACTCAGTCTGTAGCAGACTGAGTGGGAAAGGGGGCAGCTGGGTGGGACTGAGGTGAAAAGGAAGAAGAGAAAGGAGGCAGGGAAGAGAAAGGGGGTAGGAAGGAGGAAGAATGAGAGGAGGGGACACAGGCAGAGACCAAGAATGTGGGCAGATGAGAGAAGAGGGAGGGAATGGACTCGGCTCCTCCAGGCTCCTGTCGTCATAGCCTGTTCTGGCCACCCAGCAGCTCAAATCTCATCTTCTGTTTCTCTGCTATGGCCTGGACCACACGCAAACCTGAGAGAACTGGTGTCACTGGTGTGACAGTCGCCTGGGCATGTGGAACAGAGAGCAGACCCTGCCTGGCCTCGGATATAGATGAGTAAGAAAAATAACCCTGCTGCAGGAGAATGCATACAGGATGGCATCATTGAAAAAATGTTTCTAAAATGCAAAGCAGTTTGGGGCAAGTTTTGCTCCTTGGTTGGTCAGCTCCTGGGCTCATGCACTTGTGATAGGAGTACAGCCTTCCCTGGATGCTAGGGCCGGCAGGCTCTGAAATCAATGGCCTGGGCTGGAATCCTGGCCACACCCAGGCTGGTGGCTTTGAAAGTTACTTGCTGTGCCTCTGTGTTTCTGTCTGCTACCACGGGACAGTGATGAGCATCTCGTGGGAGTGTAGTGAGAGTGGGAAGACACAGCACCTGGAAGATTTCTCAGGATAGAGTGCAGCTGCCAGGAAAGCTCCACAACCTTAGCTGTTAGCATCTCCACTGTTCTGCGAGGGCATTGTGAGCATGCAGTTTGTAATAACCGCTACTTCTGTTTATGGTTTTCCTAAGTGGTGGAGTAAAGCTGGTGCTATAGTTTTGACTTAAGTACCACATAAAGGGACATGTGGCTGGGGGTTAGTCCTCAGGCCGGCACTATTGAAAGGCAGTGGAAATGTGAAGAGGTGAGGCCAGGTGGAAGGTCTTTAGGTCACTGAAAGAAACAGAGGGACCCTGTCACCTCCCTCCTTTGTTGTTTTTGCTTCCCAGCCACATCCTTCTGCCACAATGTGACAAAGCAACAGAGCCAATCAGTCATGAGCTGGAACTTGCACAATGGAGCCAAAAGAAACTTTTTCTAACCTTTTATAAACTGATCACCTTGGGTATTTGTTACAGTACTGGAAAGCTGAGTAGCACACATGGAATCCCATTAAGATTTGGTAAATCTGAGAGGTGGTAGGTGATTCATGGTTATCATATATTTCATATTATATCTAGATATCTGATAATAGGAAAGCAATTAAGTTGGGAAAAAAGGGGGAAGAAAAATAACAAAAATCCAAACCAATTCAGGAGTCCTGAAACCTTACAGGTCTGAGACAGAAAGGAGAGGTGGAGGAAGTAGCTGTGGGCATCCTTTAGAGAACAGACCCTCAGCAAACCAATCAGAGGATCAGCCTTGCTGGCCACACCCACCTAGTGAGGTCACTGGGGCCCTGGGTGGTCCTGTTGCTCTATCAAGAGCTCTGGAATCTCTTACCTTGGTGCCTTGATTTTGGATTTCCTGGCCTCCAGAACTGTAAGCGATTAATTTTCTATAGTTTATGAATTACTCAATCCAAGGCAGTGTGTTACAGCAGCTCTTTTAGACTAAACAGGAGAGCACTGTGTCAAGTGCCTTCTTAGGCAGATTCCAAGCACTGACTGCCCCCTCTTCCCCTCATCCGACAGGCAACCCCCCTTATCAGCTCCCCCGCCAGAATAAAGGATGAAAGGAGCTCAAGTCAGTTCCCTCAAAGATCTCTGTCACTTACCAGTGATTTTCTAGAGTTTTTTTTAAAGTAAAGTGTGTGCTCAGTGATTTTCTAGAGTTTTTGTTAAGCAAAGTGTGTGCTCAGATTGGGTTCTTCCTCATGGACAAAGTTACTTGGGTCTACCTGGGACCTAGTACTTCCTTCCCTGTTCCCAAGGGTGAGGGCAGGTGCTAACCCTGTCCAAACTCATGCCCCCCTTCAGCATCCCCATGGTGAAAGGCCCCTGGGACCTTCTGAACATTTGCAAACACAGGGTCTCCTGAGCTCTGCAGTGGACCGTGGCAGACATCCAGATGACCTCTAGGAACAAAGTCCTGACTGCTTTGTCTTTCCTTAGACACACAAGCCAGGCCTTCCTCCTCTACCCTGGACTCTTAGTCCCACCCTGCTAGGGTCAGGGGCTGAGGACGGTGAGGGAGTCTGTGCAGAAGACTAGGCCACGTCCCTGGGAGGAGCCACATCTCAGGAGTAAAAGCAGCCGGAAGTGTTATCCAGGTGTCGTTTACTTCCTTAACTCTGAGATCTTTCAGATAAGCCAGGCATAGTGTCAGGCGTCCAGGGTCACAGTCTCTCCCTGAGCCTTTGTCAAGGTTCCCTGCATGGATAAAGGAGCTCTGTGAAGAAGAGACAGACAAGTGACATACTACAAAGTCCCGCCCCATGACCCAAGGGTGTTCCAATCTGTGGAAACAGCACACACAAGTGGGAATGTCACCCAGGTGCAGGGCAGTGGGGACTGAGGAAGACAGCACACTTAGAGACAGAAAGTAGAACCATGGTTACCAGGAACTGGGAAAGAGGTTAATGGGAGTTAATGTTTACTGGGGACAGAGTTTGAACCTGGGAAGATAAAGAACTTCTAGGGAGGGAGGGCAGCGGTGGTTGTGCAACAGTGAGAATGTACTCAATGGCACTGACCTGTGTACTTGGAAATGGATGAAATGGTCAATTTTTTCTTTCCTGTTTTATCAAAATAAAAATTCAAAAAATTTAAGACATTCCCTAAATCTGAGTAATCAAGGTAGATATTTTAAAATCAAAATTGATGTAATAAAACCTGTGATGAACAAAATAGAATAAGCAAATAGAATCAGTATTTCTGCATTTTCCCGTTGCCCCAGGCTCCAACATGGCTCGGGCTGGGGCTAACAAGTTACTGCTCTTTGAGAATCTCCATGCTGGTCCCAGGATTCCACGCCCACGAGACAAGAATTCCCATCCATGTTTCACAGTAAGGAGGCTCCCAGAGCAAGTCACCAGCCCAGTGCCAGGCCTGAGCCCTCGGCCTCTGCCAGAGCGAAGCGTGTGCCCCACTGGAGAGGAAGAAGGCTCAGATCGGTGCCTTCCTGAGAAGGAAGAGCTCAGCAGCTCAGGATTTCCATCTGGAGGCTTGTGAGAAGTGGCTCAAGCGTCCCTCTTCCCCCTGTGGATTTTCGTGACCTCTGCTTTATCTCATCCCCATTAACCATGTGACTCTGGCTCTGTAATCTGCCCTTCTAAAGGTGGGAAAGGTGAGTTCCCTGACAGCACTGTGCTGGTGCCCAGCTGCCCCCTGGTCCCGGACACAGAAACAGAACCCAAGCTTCATCCTAGCGGGGACCTCCTGCCCACCGGACCTTGGCCACCTCCTACCTTGGGGAAAGCAAAGCTCTTGCCAGATGGGGCTTCCTGTGCCTCTTGCGGGGCCATGTCCCCCAAATCCAGCTGGCCGGCATAAAAGGAGCTCAGTAAATCCCTGATGAATGAATGAATAGATCAATGAAAGAATAAAAGCTACCTAGCATATAATCCTGGAAAAAGTGCGGACTACATTTTGTCATCCTTTACCTGACATAGAGGGCAGAGGTAACAGAATTTTTGTAGATTGAAACGAGAAAGCATTTAGATTTTGTGATGTTTTATAAAACTATGTAGAAAATATACAAATATATAAAGTACAGATTAAAATGTAACATATATAAATATTATACAAATATGTTATGTACATGGTTTATACTTTTTTGTTGTTTTCTGAGACAGAGTCTCACTGTGTAGCTGGGGCTGACCTTGAACTCACTGTGTAGCCCAGACTGGCCTTGAACTCCTGACCATCCTCCAGAGTGGGATTACAGGTGTGCGCCATGCCTGGTTTGTACACTGTATATTCATATATTATACAAAACACGTATTATTGAACACCAAGGGGGATGAAATACACATCAGGAGCAGGGGCCTTGCGTCAGCTAAGTGTGGGCTCTGCGCACGCATCTCCTCCCTCCTGAGCCCAGGGCTGCTGAACGCTGACTGTCCAAAGCCCTCCTGGCCTCACCTGGCTGCCCTTTTTCTCTGCCTGTACTAGCACAGCCAGAGATTTTCTGTCTCTTCATCTCCCCCAAGCTCCTGCCCCCTAGCCACTTGTGTCCCCCTGTTTCAGATCTGATCTCAGCATGGACAGCGTCTAGGACAAGGCAGGGTCTGCACATCCCCATTGCCCAAGACCCAGTAAATCAGAAGCCGTTTGGTAACAATATCTCCGCATCTGCCCAAAGCTAGAAAAGCAGCAAAGGTGACTCCCACTCACCCTGAAGTGTTCAGCTCATGGCCACCTTGTCCAGGGAGCCTGGCCCACCTCCCAGCCATCCCCAGGGGCCACAGGAAGAGCGAGAGGGGTGGCCATGGCCCCAGCCACGTGCACTGGTCACAGTTCTGAGCACCTGCAGCTCAGAGTCCTCCTTGTCCAACGGCTGGTGCTCTGGTGGAGGAAACGTGATGCTTTTAGGAACCCCAGCAAGGGCTGTTGTACAGGGTCAGCTAAGGTTGCACGAATGTCACACCTGCCAATGGCCACCCGCTAGGGACCCTGCCTGTACCTGCCTGGAGCCCCGCTTTGTGGGGCCACATGAGAGCCAGGGTCACATGGTCCTGAGCCTGAGGTACTGAGGACCATGAAGAAGTCCAGAAGAGACAGGTTGCCCAGCTTTCTTCTGCAGAAGAGCAGACTTCATGGTGTAGCTCATGGGCAGCCTGGCGGGGTGGATGGAACGGCTGGGGTCCTGTAGATTTGATTCAGAACACAGGTGTGATTGCTGAGGACCTGGGAATTATAGACAAGATGTTGATTTCTCAGGGTGGTGGGAGAGTAGCTGCATCCTGAGAGAGAAAAGAGCATCAACAGCTTTTCTGATAATCACCACAGACAGGCTGCAAAAGGCGGGCTGTGCTCCTGCGGAGGAATCCACACACAGCCCTCATGCCAGTGTGGATCGGATCCCGACTTCTGAGCCGTGTCTCAGGCACAAGAGATGGAGACCGTAGGTGGGTCGGGATAAACCTCTCCAGTTTCACTACCAGGACTTCGCCTCTCCAACCCTCAGCTTCTACTTCTGCAAAAATGAGTGTAGCAAAGCCAGCCTCCCAGGGTGACACAGAAGTGTAAATGACATGATGGATGAAAGTGAGCTTGGCAAATGGTGCTGCGTTTCACAATTGTTAATTACCTGGCTGCTTTGCAATGAAAAATAATCTCTCCCAACAGCAGAGGGGTGGAGTTTACCAGCAAACTGGAAAGGAGTTTCTTACTGTGAGCTTTTGTGGCCATGATGACAGCTAGCAGAGCATCTCTTTTACTAGAGGCTCATTTTTTATTTCCCACCTCCACTCCCTGGCCTCTGACCCACCCAGCTTCTCTCTGAGCCATGAGCTCTCAGGAACCCACCTTTGTGACCTTTCGCCGCACAAACGCACACACATGTGCTCAGCACGTCCTACGTTTGAAGAGGACAAGGGTAGAGACACAGAAGCAGCTGGCAGGAGTCTGATGTGGCAATCCTGGGCTGGTTTCCCATCTGAGCATGACTTGGGGAGGCAGCAAGGGACCTCAGAGCACACAGAACAAAGGCTATGTAAATTCCATTTCCAAAGATGTCCTCTCAAAGGCATGACCAAAAATGGCCTTTCCGTTACTGATTTCAAGCAGAACTCGCATGTTTGAACCCCGCCCAGGAGTTACACAATGCTTACACAACTGGGGTTTCCCCCGCACTGCTTCGGTCTCACCCTTCTGTTTTCCTTCCTACAGAAAAGAACAGATTAACATCTGTCCCCAATTGTGGGATTCTTGCATCTGCTCAAACCAAATGAGCTGCCTCCAATGGCCAAGCACAAGAACTGTATGTTCTTGGGGTAGGAAGTTCAAGGGTAATTTGAAAGTCAAACCAAGGGCTGTAGACTCTGTTTTGTGGGAGGAGGAACTGGAAGCTTGGGTGAGGTCCCCCCCCCCACTGCCAACCCCGTGGCATTTCTAATGACTTAGGCCAGACTCAGTGCTTTCATTCATTTTGTCCATTGCTATGATAGAGTATCACATACTAGGGAATTTGTAAAAAAAAGAATATTTTTCATAGGTTGAGGATGGGAAGTCCAACATAGAGTCTCCAGCCTCTTGGCAGGACTGTTTTGCTGGCTCATTAAAGGGCAGAAGCACAAGAGACCGTGTGTGAGACAGGACAAATTGGGGCCTGCTCCTGTGCTCCTCTGCTCCCACCACCGCAGAGCCCCTCCTGAGCAGGGCGCTCTGGACCTGGGCCCCTCAGCACTGTCACAATAGCAGTTCAGTTTCAGCCCGGTCTGCAGGGGACATTCCAACCACAGCACATGGGTGGTCACTGTGGTCAGAGGGTGGCAGCAGCGGATGGGAGGCCTGGCTGGGTTAAGTGTCAGTTTCATCGCTGGCCTCTGTACCGGGGTACTTGGCACGGAAAGGGAGGCATGGCTGTTCAGAAGCTTATTATCTCGCCGGCCCCAGCACTGTACGCCTTGCCTGCGTCGTTGTGCTCATGATGCCCGTGTTGACCCCAGGTTACCCATGGCACACCATGTTGCACGGAAGACAGATTTACATACCCACAGCCACGCTGTGACCCCGTTTATGGAGGGGAACTGAAGGAGACATTAGTCTGCCACATGCCCCAGGTCACACAGCGGGACACAGCAGAGGGGGTGGGGAAGATTGCCCAAGCTGGCTCCAAAGTTCAGGAACCCCGCTGACCTTCCTGATGTTTCCAGAGAGGCCACCAGGCAACTGGCTGCCACCCTCAGCGTGGCACTGGCTGCCACTCCCCCTCCCTCCCGGATCTTACGTACCCCACTGAGCTGCCCCACCACACTCCAGAGCTGCTCTCTGCCAGGAGTGTTCACCGTCCTCTCAGTGAGGGCGGCCGACGGTTCTGCCAGTAAGGAGAGAGCTGGATGTGCTGTGCTCCAGACGGCTTCTTACCACCAGGTAGAGAGCCTAGACAATGGACCACAGCTACCTGATCTCTGTGTGGCCTCAGATTTGAGTTTGTTAAATACTTAATTTGAGATTTCTAAATACTTACTTTCCCTTTCCTTCCCTCATTTTTTTGTTAAAGTTTTAAAAAATCATGACAATCACTTCTTGGCCTTTTGGCTAAGATCAAGTGTAAAAAATCATGACAAGAAGTTCAGATTGGTCACAAGGGCAAAAAGCCTCAATCGACACTATCTTTACAAATGAGTAATTAGCTTTATAAAAGTAATTATTGATTCTATTGGAGACCATGGAGTTGAATTATTTAGTCACATGGTGAAAGCAATTTGGTTAATTTTTATGTAACATTGGATAAAACATTACAATTTCTAAAAGGGACAGAATGTAGTGTTTATAAGATGATGTAAATTCAGCTTGGTCTAGAAACCTCTTCCTTAACACCTCTCCTAGCCATGCCATTCTTTAAACTATGAGATGGTTCTTAGGAGAGACATTGTGTAGGGATGATTTGGGTATTGAAAACTCCCCCAAATGCTTGGTCCCCCAGCCTCTGGTGTGATTGAGAGGTGATGGAGCCTTCAGGAGGTTGGGCTTGAAGGGTCAGTCATCTTTGGGTCACTGGAAGTGTGCTGCTGAATTGGGACTGGCTTCTTCCTTTCTCTTTTGCTTCTTGGCCATGAGGTGAACAGCTTTGCTGCACCATGAGCTCACCCCATGACGTGTTGGCTAGCCACTGCCCAAAGCAATGGGATGGAACCGCCAAAGCTCTGAGCCAAAACAAACCTTTCCTCTTTGTAAATTCACTACCTCAGGCATTTGTTATAGGGACAGAAAGCTAATAACATGCATTAAACAGACAGTTATAACTCAAGACAATATAACTCCGAACTGTCAAGAATGTGGTAAAATATACATTTTCCCCCTAAAAACTGTTTAAAATTGGAGTGGAACATCAAAAGGGACAGAGATAGAAGGATAGGGAGAGTAGGAAGAGAACTTTGAGAATGTCCTCTACACCCTGTTCAAAGGAACTTTGTCTCCATCATGCAGAAAAACAGGCACTACTGTTTTATTTTGAATAAAAATACATCTTCCTAAAAAGTTATGGAGGGGTAAGACCAGAGGGATGAACACTGGATTAGAGAGAGCCATCGCTAATTTTCCCCATCCTTCAAGGTCTATGCCTTATGTTCTGGGTGAGGCATTCTCCTTTCATAATGGTTGTCAAAGCTTGATCCACAGACTCGGGTAGTCTCTGAGCTCCATTCAGAGCCAGCTCAAGGTCAAAACTACTTTCTACAATAACATTAATAGATTTCCCTTTTTTACTGTTTGTGCAAAGGCAAGGGTGAATAAGACTGCTGGTCCCTTAACGTGAATCGGGCAGAGGCACTAAATCATATATTCTTTACTGCCGTGTACTTGCTTGAAAAATAAATATAAAAAGGAAAAGACCAATCTCATTCAAGAATTTCTTTGATGAAAAGGAAAAGTTAATTAAAGAACATGAATCTTTAGTTTCTCTGTAATAAAATGGAAAATCTGCTGTGTACTCAAGTATAGTAACTGTCCCAAGGAAATGCAGGTGTGTATTGAGTTGCCAGCTAAACTAGCCACTTAATTTGTGTACAGCTTTTTATACTTTTTTACAACCTACAGATTATGTCTATTTGGCAAACCATGTGTTTGGTATTTGGCAGGTTATTTCTCAAAAATAAATGGAACAAGCCTGTCACTTCAAATAAAACAAATTAGGGGAGGATGTGTTGCCAATGATAAAACCTGAGTTTTCAAGTAGAAATGTGAGTTTTTGAAAATTTGTTATCTGTCACTGTGAGCTTGATAGTTTCCATGTACTTTTTGGTTAAGGTTGGTGATACTAACTACTATGATCATTTGATACAATGGACTGAAATGTGTCTTCATTTTGGACCAATAGTTTCCAAATGATCAATCAATGATGTTATGGGTAAAAGCCATCCCAAGTCCAAGACAGATCAATTGAATTTAATGTAACCATAGAAAGTTTGATTATGGTTTCATATTTTATTGCAATAAAGATTTCATAAATTACCATGTGTAATTTTGGGGATATTAAAAAATCCACAATTGTATGATACAACTATTAAATGCTGTTTCAATTGTTTATCTGTGTTAGGCCAGATTTTCTTCACATACTCACATCAAATTATGTCAGAAGAGACTGAATGCAGAAGCAGGTAGAAGAATCCATCTCTTTTATTACAGCAAACATTAAAGAGATTTGTAAACATGTGAAACAATACCATAGTTACTATAAAACAATCTAGGATTTGTTCTAATTTCAAATATGGTAACTTTTTTGGTGGTTCTGGGGATTGAACCCAGGGCCTTTCTCATGCTAGGCCAAAGTTCTACCTGAGCTCCACCCCCTGCCCCTAATCTGGAAGCCATTTATGGGGTTATCTAGTGGTTTGCTGGTGAGTTAATGAGGTCCCTACAGGGAGAGGAAGCTGTTTTGTGGCAGTGTTTGCTGATCCCGGTGGTGTGAATACTCTCTTCACTGGGAGTCGGGAAGAGATGTGTGCCACCGCAGTGTTCTCATGCATTCAGAGGGGTTAAGGATCCCAGAGAACCACGCTGGTCTTTAGATGTCACCTCACTGTCGGCGTCAGCACTCTAGCGAAGGGACGTGGCTGCTATGGTATCAAAGTGCAGAAGTGCTGAAACCTTGCGGGCTCATCTGCTTCACCAAACATCCCCAAAAATCTCTTCTCAGTTACCCAAGACCCCTGAATCTTTCTATTGCAATCCTGTCTTAAACGAAGTTTTCATTTTAAGGAGCACATTTTTGGGATTCCTTGAGGTGGGGCTGAGTGCACTCTGGGGTGACACCACTCAGACTGGACGTTCACTGACAGGAAGTGGGGGTAGTGAAGGTTGTAGTTAAAACCCTCCCACCTCCTTCATTTCAGGAGTGGGGAAGAAGAATGGGAACTATTACGAGGTGCTGTTTACATAAATCAAATACTTTATTATTTCGGAAAGGCCAAATTACAAAATCTTTTATACTTCAGATCCATCCATTACCATGCCAAAGGCTCCTAGGGACTCATGTTTCCAAAACCATTAGGTCGCACTACATTAAGCTGCCATCTTTGCTGATATAAACCAGCCCCAAACAGGCAATTTTATGTGGTTCAAGCTCATATTGAGCTGAGGGCTATGCTTTCTTTTGGCAGCAAGATGTTCCCATCACGTCTGTTTATATTATAAACAGATGTCCCAGTGATAAATAGGTCCCACTTGGAAAAAATATCCTGTGCTTGACTCTGCTGCAAGTGTCGCTTCTGGGCACGTAGGCAGTCATCCCAGGGCTGGCTCTGCTGCTCCCAGCTTGCCCTGGACCCATTCCACGGTCTCGTCACATGATAATTCTGACACTCTGGAAACGTCCAAAGCCAGTTTGCCAGGAGGCAGCAAAGTCTGTCCCACCTGGAAGTCAATGTCACTGGACCTTCTAAAAACGCCAGAATTACACGGTGGACTTCGACACTCCTGAACTCGTCAGATGGATCAGTGCACCACTGCTACGAATTCTTGCCTGTCTGGCTTTCTCTGTGCCTCTGGGTATTGTGTCCAGGAAAATTGGGAAGGAAAACAAAACCAAAACCCCAAAAGAGCATCTTGCTGAAGACACTGAGCAGAAAGCAGAGCATGCCGTCCAGATGGTCCCAGATAAGACAAGGCATACTTCATTCATCATCAGGGTCAGGGTTTCACAGCGACCCCTCCCCGTCCCAAGTCCCACCTTTGCCACTCTGTACAACACTCTAACTTTACACGCAGCTGAGATAAAAATAAAGCTTTCGTACAAATTACATTTTTTTCCAGTGAATTACTTTTGCAGTAAAAATAGCTGCTACATAAATCCCTCCTGATCTCTGAAAAGGAGTCGCATATTTCCAAAAATAGTATTCTTATTTTAATCACAGAGTAACGTGAGGCACAGGAAGGAAGCGGTTGGCTAGGGTGAGGTGCGTTGTTGGGAAGAACACGGTTAACACCAGAAAATAAAGGACATCTGTGTACAAACTGATTTAAAGGCATGCATAAAAGTGGAAAACATATGCCATTTGTCAAGAAAAATACTGCTTTATAGCTTTTACTTTACAATTAAAGGAGAAAACGGAGAGGCCAGGCATTCTCCTCATTCCAAGGTAATAACATTAAATTTCTTATAAAAAAAATCCCCAAATGTACAAAGTCCTTGACGGATAATAACCAAGGCAAAACAAAGACAAACAACAATAAAAAGCAAAAAACCAGGGAGGACCCCCGCAGACCTTATTCCTCTAGGTATATTGTATGAAAATAGCACTTTACGAACTTTACAATGTTCGTAATTTGCCGTGGTGGCAGATTAAATCTTTGTAAAATGCCACTCCCAAAAAATGGAATAACATAGTGGATGTCTGCATTCTTATTTCAAATAGTTACATAATTATTTTAAATTACAATATATAATTTCTGTTAAATAGAATGGTACGAGGATTCCAACAGCAACTGTAAGATTACAACCCTATATACAAACTTCTGAAATGGCAACTGGTTTCCTCCCCACCCTGCTATTTCTCTCCAGCAGAGACAGTTTGCTCCTCCTTGCTGAAGTCGAAAACTGTGTAGCAAATGGTCTTGTGTCTGAGACATGCTCCCTCCTAAGAGAATCCCAGGAAGTACCTGCTGTGTGGCGTGGCCTGGGCAGACACAGGCTGGCTCCCCAGAGGCCCTGGCAACCTCTGCCATGTGACACTGCCCACCAAAGACTCCAGAGTCCAGGAGCTGCGAGTCTGCCCTGTGGGGGGCACAGCCTTGTCAGAGAAGCCCATCCTGGGACGAAATAAGGCCACTGCTCAGTGACTTTCCCGGACGCCTCTCAGGGGTCCTTGGAGCAGTCGGCGGCACAGGCTTCCCACTCAGGGTCCCCTGGGCCTGGGGTGGGCTCAGGGTGGTCCCGGGCCCTCAGTCCTCTGTGTCAGGCTGGACCCCCAGGATGGCGTGCAGCTCCTCCGCCGTGAACCCCAGCAAATTCTGCAGGTCGCAGACGAAGCGGTACACATAGCGCTTGCCCGACGTCTTGTGGATGATGTTCTTGTCGTAGTAGTAGCGTAGACCCCGGCTCAGCTTCTCGTAGTTCATCTTGGGCTTATTTTTCCTCTTTCCCCACCGGCGAGCCACCTTTGGGGGACATAAATAGAGTTAAGTTCATCATAGAGACAGTGAAGGACCCCGATTCTGCTGCGTGCCACCCTAGAGAATGGGAGCCCTGCACAAGGCTCAGGGGCTCCGTCTCATCTTTTAATACAGCAAGGGACACAGTGTGCTCTTCAGCTGTTTCTCTGCATTCAGGAGTGAGTCCCCAGCCTCCTGCCCAGCTGTCTCAGTAAAACCTCCTGGGAAGTTGAACCGAGAGTTCAGACCCAGGAAGGCCTGTGATGGGAACGAGCTGGTGTTACCACCCCTGGGGTTCCGGTTCCAAGCACCGTGTCGACAGCTGCTGAGCAGCACTCAGCCTGTCACGTGCTCGATCCCCAAGGCGGGAACAGGGAGGTGACAAATTATGCTCCACAGCACCAGGGGCCAAGGGCTTCTCTCACACTGTCCTAGAACAGCTGGGGTCACCTGTGCCAGTGTCTCCTCCAGCACGGAACCTTGATCCAACCCTCCAGGCCTCTGGGGGACACTGCAAGGCTGGACGGTCCCCATGACAAGGACAGATTTCCCAAACAAGGTGCTTTCATTTGGCTATGGGAGGACCTCAGCTCGAAGCTCGGACTCCTGATCACACAGAGACCAAGGGGCGGGTCTGTCCCAGGCCCACAGGCAGGGGCACCCAGGGTCAGCAACCAAGCAGGGCCTCCCAAGAAACCTGCCCTCTCTCAGGGCTCCAGAGAACAATGCCTCTGAACCCAAGGTGACAATCGGGCTTTCGACCCTGGACTCCCTGGGGCATGGGCCGTACCTCATCAGGGTCAGCGAGCTTAAACTCCCATCCGTCTCCTGTCCAGCTGATGAACGACTGGCAAGACTTGTCAGAGAGCAACTCCAGGAGAAACTGCCACAGCTGGATGGGTCCACTTCCTGGGGGGACAGGGACACAATGACACATTTCCACGGGCTCCCAGGACCACCAGGCTCCAAGCATCTGAGGGACACCAGTGAACTTGGGAATGCAGATCCAACTCCCGGAATGGAGTTGGCTGCTGAAGACAGAAGCCAGGGTGTAGGAACAGTCTAAATGCTTTCACGGGAGAAGGCTAGACCCCGAGCAGGGGTCCTCCCTCCAAGCTTAATTCCGCACCAGATGCTCTCCCCTGGGCCCCGAGCTGGGCCTCCAACTCTTAAGTGTTCCCATTCCTCATCCTGACTTTGGTTCCTCAAGGAAAGGCCTTGAAGGTTTGTTTCTAGAAACCCCAGGGAGGCAGGGGTGGAACAGGGTACTAGGACACAGAATGTGGCACGGTGGGCAAACTGTGCAGCGTGGGACAGGGTTTATCCAGCACCCAAGTTGGGTGACACCAACTGCTGCGTCATCTGTCTGCCTTTCCTGGGCTCTGATTTAGAATCATGGTCCTGGAGGAGCCCTGATCTGGATACCTGCCCATCAGCACAAGGAACAGAAAAGCCCGGATCTCTTTCCACCAAAGAGCCTTTTCCCAAAATGCTGTGGGATGGCCAGGTATGGTGGCACACACCTATAATCCTGGCAACTGGGAGGCTGAGGCAGGAGGATCACAAGTTCAAAGCCAATCTGGGCAGCAAAGTGACTTAGCGAGACCTTGTCTCAGAATTTAAAAAGGGTGAGGGACGTAGCTCAGTGCAAAGACCCTGGGTTCAATCTCTACACACAAAGCTTTGGTGTGAAGCACAAAGGCCATGTGCTCAGGAAGCAGACATGGCCAGGTCACCCATGTGATCACTGAGAGCCGTCCGCATCTGAGGCGATTTCCCCATCTGCAGAATGAGCTCGCAGTCAGGCCATGGGTTCCAGACCCAGATAACTGCAGGAACCGGTAGTCAACAAATGGTAATTAGCTTTACTATTAAAACGGAAAACACCAATGCTGCAGCTGTTTATTTTCTTACCAAGCCCAGAACTCCTGGGTATGAAAAGCAGCAAGGATTCACATGCTTTTTACTTTTAACACATTTACGCGGTGGTGTTTTAAATGATTAAAGAAAAATAGGTGCCCATATACCCCCATTTTCATGTACAGTACTATATATTTTTAGGTAGACTTAAAAAAAAAATCCACAGTGGCTCTATAGGGTCAAAATATTAAGACAAAAAAGCACATTTAAGGACACAAAAAGCATTTAATCTTTTTGCCCCAGTAGTGGAAACATCTGGTTCCAAAAAGAGCTTTAATATTTGTCCTCTGCCTGGAATAGCTCTGCCTCCAACCTGAGGGAGGCCAGCAAGGTAAACAGTGCCTGGGACCGGGCCAGCCGACATTCCTGGAGCTCTGCAGCCGTGAGTCAGGGCTGGGGCTCCTCGGCTGTGCGTCCCTGGCCTCCTCCTCCTCCTTCCCTAGCACCGCAGGGGGAGCTGTACCCACACTCCCACCCGCTGCGCTCCGGGCACAGGCCATGCCTGCAGGGAGGCTTTTCCAGTATCCAGGCCAAGCAGCTGCAGGGCGGCAACACGACACGCTTCACCGAGAAAGCACCGAGATGATGTTCTGGGCACCGTGGCCCGGCACAACCAGGACAAGCAATGGGACCGGATGGGCAGCCTGGCGCACCTGTAAAGCCAGCCAGCACAGCCGCGGGGATGACGGGTTTGCCCTGCTCCACCGGGTCGCTGCGCTCCTGGATGTAGTCCTTAAAGGAGATGGTCGGCTTCCCCAGGCACAGGGCCTGGCTGCAGTCGTCCTCGAAGCTCTCGAAGGAAGGCACGCGCTGCACGTCCAGCAGGGATGACTGGCTGTTCCAGGAGCGCAGCAGCGAGTCTGAGCTCTCGAAGCTGTCCCCGCCATTCTTGGGCGAGTTGTGGTCTTTGGGCTTCCCTGGAAGGACAGAGCAGCACATGCTGTGACTGCCCCGGTACATCGGAAGGGCCCAGAGCTAGTAAGTGACCACTCTGGTCTTGGGCCCAAGACCCACCGTGCAGACATGCACCCTCCTGGTGCAGAATCATTAGACCCCTCCAAAGGTCTTCAGCTCACGCGCCTACTCCCTGGGACAAGCATATATTCAAGTCACCCCTTCCATCAATGGAAGAATGGACAGAACACAGCCTCATACAATGGAATACTGCACGGCAATGAAAAGGAACAAATGGTCCCAACACACACGAAGCTCAGGCATGACTGGCAAAAGATAAATTCACAATAAAATATTCTGTATGGTTTCATCTGTATGAAGTTAAGAACAGGAAAAAATAATGTTATGATAATAAAATGTCCATAGTTTCCTCTTCTGGTGACAATGCTACAGGGTTGGAAGAGCTATGCGGCACCTTCTGGGCGCTCAGACTTTTCTGTCTCCCTTTGGACGGTGGGTATGGAGGTGTGAAGCCACAGAGAAATTCAACCAGTTGTGTAACCTGAGATGTGCGCGCTGTGTGTATTTTAAGATCCCTTCAAAAGAAATCTGTCAGTCTTACATCTGCACAAAATATCCCACTGGGCAGGGGCTGTATCTTGCTTACAGCGTCCCTGTGGTATCTGGACCAGGGTCTGAAACCCGCCAGCTGCACACCCTTGCTGGAAAGTCACTCAGCACAAGGCCCAGGCCCCAAAGCTGCTTCCGAGGCTGCATGCAGGGCCGGTGGACTCAGAAACCCCCCAGAAAGCTCCCATCTCACCAGTGCTGCTGGCCAGCAGGTTCAAGTTGCCGCCGGGAAAGTCCTGGCCCACGGAGCAGTAGTTACCACTGACGGTGCTGAGGCGAGACTTGGAGAACATCTGAAAGTCCTGCTCGGAGCTCAGCACCCCAGGCGCCGTGGAGGACGGACACAGGGCGTCCAGGAGGCCACCCTTGGGGTAACTTGGGGTCTGCATTCCGTACGGGGACTGCTCCACGCCAAAACCTAGGGCAGAGGGGTGGCACCGCAGAGCTGTTTAAGCCGGTGTGGAAGCCACAACTGACTGCACGAGCAGATGATGAGCAGGGCCCGCAGGTGACCAGCAACACCCGGTTCTGGGTGGCAGCTCCAAGCCCCAAGTTCAAGCACAGTGCCGACCATGCTCCATGCGCTCGGCACTGCCGCCGCTTCTGTGTCACACTAGGCTCATCTCTAGTGACGACAGTCACCAGCCTCTTACTGCACAAACCGCCCAGCCCAGCGATGACCCAGGGACAGATAATGACAGCCCCTTACGCAACTTTAAATTTTCTAGTAGTGACATTTAAAAAGCAAGAAACGGACTAATCATTCACCTTAACTGACCTAACTTAGCAATTATCACTTCAGGATATAAACACTACTTATAAATCACCAAGGAGGTATTTCGCAGTTTTGTTTCGTTCTAAGACTTCCAGATCCCTGAGCCCTAGATTCCGTACACATCTCATGGGGGACTGGCCCCATATTTCAGCAGCTCAAAAGCCACCCACGGCCACCATGGGGGGACAGGAGGCTCCGGACCGTCCCCGGGGAGCTTCCACGACAGAGGCAAAGTGTCAGGCCTTGAGAATCAACCCAACTGACCTAATGTGTTGTTGTTAACCCACTGAGGGACTGAGTTGAGGTGCGAATTTTCTTCATACTGATCTTCTGCCTTTTCTTGGTTTTCTGTAAAACAGACATAGGAGGCGTAAGATGACAAATTCAAGTCAAAGCTCCGTAAGAAAAATGCTACCGCCTGGTCTTTCTGTCGTATGGGCGTCTCTGAATGACTACACTTGGCGCTTCCTGCTTCATCAGAGGGTGTCGCATGTTATTATACATTCATTTCAAACCACTGCAGACAGTGATATACTTTTCTAATAAGTAGAGTTTTCCAAAATGAATGAAATCTTTGGCAAAGATAAATTTTTTACTGTCCAACTGGAAAGACCCAGACCAAGTATTTCATTCACTCTTATGTTAAAACAACAGTTAAATATCTGCCGGGGACTAGGGACACAGGATTTTAGAGTGGGACATGTTCTGCTCCAGAGCTTCCAAGCCTGAGTTTGCCCTTGGTGTGGGGAGCTGTGGTGGGACCCATGTACCCGTGAACTTTGAAAGGGAAAAGGTCTGCATTTACTAGGAACACACACACACACACACACACACACACACACAACCACACACACACCCATAAACCCAAACACATGCAAAACACACCAGGTAACAGCAAAACAAGCTAAAACTTGCTAAATGAGCAGGTTCACCAGCAACCTTCCAGTTAAGACCTGTCCAAGTTCAGAGGACATCTGAGGGTCTTTAAAAAGTCAGTTTCTCTGGCCATGAGAAGCTAGAACTAAAACAGACTTGGTGGTTGAAGCCTATTCTATTCAAGATTCTGAATCTATGGCAGATGTTGAAATGGGATGTTTCAACACAACTAAGTCAGGAATAATTGCCCCCAATTCAACAAAGGGGCCCATATTCTTACACCATTCAACCGAAATGATCCCTTCTCTAATTTTTTTTTTTTTAAAAACTCCAACGCATTCTAAACATTTTCATTCGTCTTTTAAGTCCTAAATCAAGACTGTCTATATTTGGCAAGACTTCTGTTGATGGGTGGCCAGTTTCTGTATAACAGCTCAGTGGGTAAATATGTATCAATTACTTCCTTGTTTAAATACTGAACACTCCTCCCCGCTAAAATTCTCACTAGATTCCTTTTGGACTTAGTAAAACTCCAAGCTTATCTGAGTAAAGACTCCCTTTCATTAAAGCTGACTTAGCTCCTTCGGCTACGTAAGGTGAGCTCAGAACACACAGGAATTCCTGCTGCCTACAAACCCAGTCCGCCACAGTCACCGAGACCAGAGTCACCACAGCGGGGAGCCATTCAGTGACTCAGGCTCCCGCCTCAGGGGCGTGCCTGATACTGTGGACACAACACACTGTGCACACTCACCTCTGAGCAATGACCATCTGGACACCGTGGCATACCCGACTCTTGGGGTACTGGGGCAACCCAGAGGCTGAAGACAGCCCATCCCCTGCCGTGCCCTCCCTGCCCCGGACCCAGAGCCAAGCCAGCCAGCGCCACCTTTGATCATCTGCTCCAGATGCTCCCACAGAATGTCGCCCACGAAGTCAGGTGCCAGCTCCAGGAAACGCTCCTTCCCCAGGTCGCACAGGACCTGGCCGTTCATGCCGAAACGCTGCAGGTTCACATTCACCAGGCTGAACTCGTTGGTGGCCCAGAGAAGCCACTGGCACACCTGCTGCTCACTCCACAGCCAGGGGTCTGCCAGGGAGGAAGAGATGGAGAGAGCCAGTGGGTGAAGGCGTGCACAGGTGGCTAGACCGGGCTGGGACCCAGCTGACCCAAGCCCCAAACCGGCTGAAATGCAGGCTGGCTCAGGGGTCTGCACCGATGTTCACTTTGTAACACCCAACAGCAGCTCAGCGCCTAGTCCAATCCCCTCCTGACCCAACCGAGGTGGAGCTGGCACTTACTCTTCGGGATGCCAAGCCGCCGCCGCTCCTTCTGGAAGCCGCTGAAGGTGGCTTTCAAGGCCTGGCTCATCACAGCCTTGCTGCAGGGGGTCAGCAGAGGGAGCTCGCAGCTGGCGGAGTCTGAAGAGAAATCCGAGGGACAGGAGGATGTCAAGGGGCTGTGGCAGTGCAGACTCAGGAGAGAAAGCTTGGTTTGCAGCCAAGAGTGATTCTGACCTCAAATCTTAACATAATTCCTTTCTTTTTTTTTGAGACAGGGTCTTGCTATGTAGTTCAGGCCGGCCTTGAACTCGCTTCCTGAGTGCTGAGATTACAGGTATGCACCTCCACGCCCAGCAACACGATTTCTTAAAAGAGTATAAATACGGGGCTGGGGGTGTAGCTCAGTGGCAGAGCACTTGTCTAGTATGTGAGAGGCCCTGGGTTAGATTGCCAGCACCTCAATAAAAAATACACATATGTAAATATATACAAATATGAACAAAGTTTTTTTAAACCACAACTGAGAAAACATGACATGTCTTAGAACTACATACATGGAGAAAACCTGCAATAGAACCCAAGGTTTTTCTATCTTGCAGAACTTCAGACATCAGGGGGGTACAGGTAAAATTTTACCTATGCCTAGTTTAGAATTTTAGACAACAAAGCAAGCTGCGATGTTTGCTCCAGTGTCTTAGAGGCTCAATGATGCGAATTGTGGAAGTTATGTTCATTAAACCAGCGGTGGCCAAAGGGATGTGGGCATGGCACCCAAAGCTGGAGCTCAGCTCCACAAAGTAGCCACCTCTTTGAGTTTTTGGAAAAATAATTCTCAGCACTCAGAAATGTGCAGGATGATAAAGGACTGGCCACACCAACCCCGTGTGTTTTAATTAATTTTCCTGGCTGTATTTTTCTAGCACCTACTTCAGATGGCAAAAGCAACTTCTGGAATGCTTCCACCTAAAAGCTCTACCAAAGTAACTGCAGAGACATTATCTAACACGCTCTCCCCTTGGAAGAAGAATAATGACCTGCAGACACAGGGATGGCTAAGTCTAAGTCTACGCTGTCCCAAAATGGGAGGGGAGGAGACCCGATGACTTAGCTAGCAGGGACCCAAGAATGGAAAGCAGGGGTTCAGGGTGTTCTGTCTGCTCTGCAGAGTGGGCCAGGGAGGTGAGGACAGCGTTACTGGTGTTGAGGAAACTCCAGGCTTCCCCTGCAGTGTGACAGCAGCCCACCAGGTGCCAGGCCAGAGTAAAGACATCAGAATGGCCAAGTTTACTCTGAAGGCAAAAGGCCTTCTTCCCAGGTCCTCGCTTGTCACAGCCAGGATTCAGCTTATCAACATTCCTTGCTTAGGAACTTTGTCTCTTTATTCACTGAACTACTTAGGGAAATCGCAAGGCAAGGGAACAAATTACCATGAGAAATGGAATCCAAGCCTGTTGGCACTTCTTGGAGTGTTTGCTCTTCATTTAGAGAGGGGAAAACAGCAAACAGAGACCCATCGAAGGTGTCAAAGGCTGGCTGGCGCTGCAGCAACAGATGGGAAAGAAAAGAGATCCAGTAAGGAGCTGATTTAATCACCTACTTTAAAAGTGGTCCCTGGGTAATCTCCAGACACACCCCGACTAAGCTGGCAATTATAAAGCAGCACAGAATTAACCACCAGGACTGGAAACAGACTTCCTAAGAAGGTCAAAGTGACCCACATGATTCCATTGTTCTCTGAATTATTCAACCAACCTCAGAGTCAGGATGACTGGGAATTTTAGTAGCCTGCTCAGCTTAATACATTAAATAATTCTAAAAATAACAGAATCTTAGCACCATGCTGAGAGGAAGCTTGGAGGTTCCTTCTGCAAATACCTGCCTCTTTGGCTACATGGGAGGAAAATTTAATCAGGCTGGGTGTATGGGGACAATAACCCATAACAGTGATTTTCAGTGCAATACAGTACAACAAAAAGCAAAGTACTGAGTAAAAACTGAAACTATAAAAATGAAAAATGATTTTCTTTTTAGAAGCATTTGCTTTGAAATATTTACCATGAAACAATCCGAGAAAAACTGGGGATGATTTTCCTTATCAATTCCAATGGTTTAGAGAGCAGTAATACATGAAAAAAAAAAATCCTTCAGTTTTCATTTTATATAAATGAAGAGTATTAAAAGGGACCCCTCAACTTATTCCCCAAGGCAAAAGATTTCCAAGGGAAAGAAGCTAGCACAAAGATAAAAATATCACATTGAGAACTGCTAATCTCATATAGTATTTGTGAAAAAACAGCCTTTCACGGAAGATGCATTTCTAAGACATAATGTGTTCATTCATCATTGCTTCACTCTTAGAGGAAAACATGAAGAAAGGTTCCATTTTTCCAACATAATGTGGAAATCCCATGTTATGTGTAATACAATGACCCATCTGTTGAGTCATCAATTTAAAAATGTGCAACACATTTACAAATAAAATCAGTTGTGTGCTTTCTTTTAGAAATGCAGAAGAGCGAATGACGCATTACAAAAGAGAGGAGGCAGAAGTTGGAGCCCAGGCCCTCCAGTCCCCCAACACCAGGACAAACCCAACTGACTCAGTTCAAAACGCTCATCTAGATTTATAAACACAGCAGAGCTTGGTTTGGTGAAACGCCCAAAAATTCAAAAATTCCCACTAGCACTGCCCAGGCGACGAAGTGGTACGTTTCTGGACTTCGAGTTCTTTTTTTAAAATCAGGAAGCCAAAGAACAATACAAATCCCTGCTTCCTATTTCAACACATAAATTTGGGCAATGACTGTTTTCTCAGAATCCAGACATCACAAGAGCATCATCAGATTCTTCTAATTCATAGAAGGATTTTCTTCGAGGTGTGCTTTCAAGTTAACAGCCCTGATTTCTTGGGACATTTCTGCTACCTTAAACCACCTGACCAGATCAAACCAGAACATTCATTGAAGTTGGCTGATTTTCTCAGAATAACAGAAATACTCATGGCCGAGTTCTGGTTTTGGGGGGCGGTTAGCAGACAAACAGCCTCACTAAAGACCTGCAAAGCGGAAGAGGCCAGAGATGCAGCACCAGCAGGCCAGACCCTAAGCTTTAAGGAGGCCAATCCTAAATCACTGCTGCTGGACAAGCGAACCACACATGCTCAGCAACAATCTGATCCTGCTGTCACATTTGGAGAAGGCAAATGGGAAATCACCAGTTTGTGCATGGAAAGAACGTTCCCAAAAGGAATTATGACAGAAGTGACAGGAGATGTGTTTAGGCAGTCCGGAGCAGGGGCTCTTTGGGGTCTCTTTCATCTTTCGCTGGGTTTTGTTTACATAAACAGGCCTGCTGCTCTCTGCAAGGCTGGAAAAGGCACCTTAAACCCGGTGGACGTGAAGGGCTTGCATTTCACTTCAGAAACAGCCTTCTCTACGAAACTCAAGCTGGACAGAAGGGCAGGAGAGTTAGTTAGTCAGCACCTCCAGCTATCACTGACAATCACAAGATCTGTTTCTTCACTTGGAAGTAGTCCCGGACACAGAAGACCTCATTATTTCCAAATTAAATGGTTTCCTATCTGGGAAGACAAGTAGAACCTGCATCAAGATATCCATTTTACAGACCGGAAAACTGAGGCCCAGAGACAGCAAGCACGGTCTAGTCACACGGCCAGTAAATTAAAAAGCTGGGGCTAAACCAATTTTCTGGGACCTGGCCCAACATTTTTTCCCTAGACATGGAGTTTTCCTATTTGTAAAAATAAACAAATTTTTAAAAATTAATTAAGATGTGCTCACTCACCTTGAGTGTCCCTCGAAAACTGTTAGCCACAGGAGCTACTTGGTCCATATTCTTGATTCCAAAATCATTCATCTGGGAAGAGAAAAGGAAGTCCTGCGTCAAAGAGGCAACAAATCGTAGGCACATTTTCAAGAAGTCCCCACTGATGCCTTGATGGTAGTTCTGAAGGTGACAGGTAATTCACACCTGGCTGCTGGGAATTCTTATCTAAAAGGATTTTCTCAAGGGTCTGAGGAAAGCAGTGCTCAACATTACAACAGGGGCAAGGCATTTAGTCATTTAAATAATAATGCTGATAACTCATGAAATTCCAGTTAAGATTCCGAGCCATTCGGAGTTCACGTCCCAAGTTCAATCCCCGGTCCCGTCCCCCCCCAAAAAAATTCCACTTAGATAGGAGATCTCAGATTCAGCTACCTTTTGTCTGGGGGGTCAGGACCCCCTTGCTGGATTAGCTGGTGGGGGTCCTGCTTTCCACTGGTTTCCACAGCACTGCAGCCTAGGTGAGGTTTTGGATGGGCATTGGCGGGGCAATGGGCCACCTCAAGACTACTCAGGGCACTCTGTGAGTTCCATCTGGGAGCCCGAGGGACCCCTGCAGCTGCCTTGGATCAGACCCAGGATAGCCTGCCGGAAGGAGTCTCACAATGTCTCCTCTTACCTCTTCCGCTCCAAGAGGTAAGAAACTACACTCAGAAGACAGGCAGGTAGCAGGAGACCTTATGACCAAACTCTTACAAGGCTCCGATCCCCCTGCTCTGAGTATAGAGCTCAAAATACCTGGCTCTGTGTGTCACCTGGCTGTGTGTCTCTTCACGAGGAAGCAATCCCAAGTACAAATCTGCTCACTGGGGTTCTGATGGTCTGGACTTACACCAGGTCTGTGTGGGCCAATATGGCAGCCACCAGCCTCTGAACCCTTGTGCTGAGGGTAGGACGCACATGAGGTTTCTAAGATTTGGCAGAAAAGTGGAAACGACTCAATTATTTGTATATTCACTGCATGCTTATATATTTTTAATTTAGCAGGTTAACCAAAATCAATTTCACCTGTTGTGCTATTTTTAACATGGCTGGTAGAAAATTTAAAACCACACATGTGAGTTGGAGTTGGATAATGCTGTGCTAGACTGAACACTTCCTTGGGGCCCTAACCTGTACTTGTCTGTTCATACAAGTTGATAAGGAAGAAAAAACACTGCTATAATATGGCCAGAGAGCTAAATAAAACAACTGAGGAACTAAAACTCGTGTTCAAATGAGCTGGGTTAGCACTGTGAAGGTAGTTTTCACCTTGAGCCCCCAGCTCAGCTCCATGACTTCAGAACTAAAGGCCTTCGGCCAGCAAGATGGGGTTCCCCTAAGCACCTGCCTGTCACAGCCTCCAACCTAACCCTAATTACTGTGCCAATTGCAGGAGCATACTGGGGACACCAAACACCATAGCTGCATGAAAATTATTTGTGTTTGTGTTTTCCTATTTTCTCTTTATGGTCAACATTTACAATTAAACCATTGCCCCAATGACCCTTAACCCAATACACACATACATACACACACACACACACACACACACACACATACACACGCACACAAACAACTTTGAATAAAACAGGACGGGGCAGAAGTCCCTGGTAAGGGCTGGAAAAGGCTCAGAGTTGCAGGTAATGCTTGCACTAGCCCAGAGGCCAAGGAGAGGTGTGTTACAGGGAGTCACAGCCCTACAGGAGGGCAGGGCTGTCCTGCTCTAGAGGGGCCACATTGGCGCAGAATCTCCATTTGGTACATTATGTCACCCACTACTGCACAGCAATCAATGTTCTCTACCAAGGAAGGCTGCCAGGACACTACGCCTGGTCATCAAGAGCCAAGCCCTGCGTGGGGGGACCCTACGTCGCTATGTTCTGCAATCTCCCGCGTTCCTGAGATGTGGATGACACAGCACCCTGAAGTGAGGCCATCAAGGGCAGTAACAGGGGGTCACTGGCCTGGGACCACACACATACCACCCCGTAAGGCAAGGTGGAGTCGAGGGTCTGGACCCTGGACCCCTCCACATCTCGATGGAGAGCACACAAGTATTACTCAGAATACTGCAACTGTGGTCCTTCACCACCTGTGAAATGCTCTTTCTCTGGAACGCTGTGTCAGCTACCCAGGTGAAGTCAGCCCAGGCACCTATTGATTAAACAAACCTCAAACAAAAAACCCAATAGGGGGCCGGGGATTTAGCTCAGTGGTTCAGCCAACTGCCTCGCAAGCACAAGGTCCCGAGTTTGATCCTGGTACCAAAAACAAAACAATAAAACCCCACTAGGACAAACAAACTCAAAAAACCCCCAGTAAGACAGACACCAAGAAGGTTGGAATCACCCACCCTGAGCTTGACGGGAGAGCACTTTTTGGTCACTTGGTTTGTCAGATGCTTGCCGACTTAATTCTATGTTTTTCAGTCAGCATTTGAGATAGCCGGAGAATGGGTATGGAAGGAAAGGATGGGACAGCTTTGCCAGCTTTTGTGTACAAATACCGAGAGCGAAGGCGGCATACCACTCCCACATAAAGAGCTGTAATTACCAGCTACACAACACAATTCTTTTGTTATCCAGCTTTTAATGAGTTTTGTACAACCCCTGGAGAATTAAAGAGCCCACTAAATGGTTTCAGGCAGACACACAAGTAATCAAATTGAAGTTCACTTATTCTACTCAGCTCGGCTCATTAACTAGGCCCACCGGTCAAGTTTCTCCATGTAAATCCATTTCATGTTCGGGTCCTTCAGGTCCTGTGGGACTGATTTTTGCTTTTAAACCGAAAGAAAAGGAAAAAGGAAAATGGCAGAAACGTAAGCACCGAGAATGCTTACATTTTAAAACAAGGAGAATTTGCCTGGCAACAGTATTCTTACTGGAACAAGTAACCATTTATGTAAGATCAGAGCACAGGTTTGTATGCAGGTAAATTTGGAGGAAAAAAAATCAGAAGCTGTGATACACTTTTGAAGGCTGGCTTGCCTGTCGCCTGAAAAGCAGTTTAGAAAGATGAGTGACTAATCCCAGAAGAGAGGGTTTGGCTGTCTTCCCCCGGGACGCACGGTGTTCACCCGTTCTGTACCACGGTATTACTCAGAATTTTAATAAAGCCTAACGTGGAGATTTATCTCCCTGATTGGAGGTGGTGTGGGATCGCAGATAAGACAGCGCTTCCATTGTGCGGAACAAACGCAATCTCTACCCCGTGAATTAACATAAATTACTCCTATCTGCACAGAGGTCTGTTCACGTCTTTACTTTGTAAACAAGTAGAGTCAACTACTATTTCAGATTACCCAGAAAATCGAGTTCAGGCTAATTTATCTCAGTCTCGTGCGCTTAAGCTTAAAAAAAAAAAACAATTAAAAAACAATCCAATCACAGGCAAATGCTCTACCGGGGAGAAAGAACAGAAAGGCCGCAGAGCGCAAGCACCCCGCTCCGAAGGTGCCCGTGCCCGGGGCCCCGCCAGGTCTGGGCTGAGGCCGAGCAGGTGCCCGACGACCCGCAGTCTCCCAGGTGTCCCAGGCGCCCTTCCGACCAGTCACCTCCAACCCGGGGCCACCTCGGGCACCGCCTCCCAAGCCTTTTTGGTGAAATCGGTCTTCTAGGGCGCTCCCTGGGAGCTGGAACCCCCACTAGGCCCGTGATTCTTTCCAAAAAACAAAATCGAGCGCCCCCGCCCCGCCCTGCCTGGCCACCCGCGCAGGCTCAGGAGCGACAGCGACCACCACCCCGAGGGCCACCCGGCCACCGCAAAACGGGCCCAAGCGGAACTCACACGCGCGACCCCCGAGTTCCCAGGGCGACTCCCCCCTCCCCGGGAGCGGCTGCCCGGGATCGAGCCCTGGGATCGGCCCTGGAGCGCCCGCCCGCTGGGGTCCCCGCCGGGGAGCGCGCGCTCCGGGCCGCTCTTACCGCGCCGCGGGGCAGGGCCGGCGGCCGGCGGCGGAGCTCCGGGCCGGGTCTCTCGGTGGCGCCGCGGGAGGCCCTCGAGCACGGGCGGGATCGGGGATCGGGGATCCGGGATCGGGCCCGGCGCGCGCGGAGGCCGGGGATGGACGCGGACTCGCGGGCCACTCCGCGCTCGGCGCCGCGGTGGAGGAAGTAACCGGCCCGGCCCCCTCGCGGCGCGCTCTTCAGAAGCGAGGACTGGGCCGGGAGAGGACGCGGGGCGGAGGAGGAGACGAGCGGGGAGGGACGAGGGGCGGGGAGCGGAGGAGGCGGTGCCGGCGCGGGGCGAGGCGCGGGCTGCGGGGGTGGCGGAGGCGGCGGGCGCAGCGTGGGGCGGGAGGAGGCGGTGCCTTCCGGCCCCCCCCCGCCCCGCGCCGGTCCCGGGCCCCGACCCTCCCCGCCGCTCGGGGCTGGGGACGCGGAGCCACCGAGACAGGGCCGGGCGCCCGCTCGATCCCGCAGGAACTGGGGCTGGGACGGTGGCGCCCTGGCAGCGGGGCTGCAGTACGAAGCCCCCGCCGTGGGGCGGGCCGTGCTTGGGCCTCCAGGTGGCTTTGGACTGCTGTCGTGCAGTCACGCGGAGGCTCAGATATGAGGTTAGGGAAATGCAAGCCGACCCTTCCCCGGGCGCCTAGTCCGGGGGCCCCCGGGCTGCCCGGCCCCGGAAGCCCGTCGCTCCGGCTCCGAGTGAGTGGCGCCCCCTAGGGCTGAGCGCGCGCAGTGCATCATCGTGGTTCCTGGAGGCCTTGGTGTTCCCACTTGGCGCGCCTGGGAAGTGAACCGTGCCACAAGTAACCCGCCTGGTCATCTCAATGGAGAACTCGCGTTTGTTTGAAACCCGAGGTCGTCTCCACTGCAAACCCATGTTCGAAACCACCAGCCATACCGTGGTTCCTTCCCTTTTTTATTAGAAGGTGCTTGGGTCGGTGGCTGGAAACCTGTGCAGTTCCTATTTAGACTCGGCCACATGCTCAATATTAAGCAAGAGTTTATATTCCAAACGTGTACGAAACAGAACAACCAGCGGAGGCAAGGCTGCGGGACCAAAGGTTGCTACATCTCGGGGAATGCTGCCCTGGGAAGGGAGAGGAAGGGCCCAACTCCTCTGGTACCCAAGGTTCCCGGTTCCCATGACAACTCGGGATCAGGGCTTATCCGACCATTGGTTGATTAGATCCTGTTGCACCTCAGTGTTTCTCCATGTGAGGGTGTCCAGGTGTCACGGTGGACTGGTAAAGGCAGCGTCTACATGGCTAAAGCAACCCAGCGCTAAAGGAATTGCTAGTTCAGGAGAGTGAATCAGCTCTGAAGGCTTCTCAGGGCACATTCAGGCCTTGCTCAGACAACCCGGAGGAGTCAAGGAGGAGCTCCGTAAATGGAATACTGGTCCATCGTATGTTACCATGGAGACATGATGAAGTGTATGTTATGGTCTTTTTTTTTTTGGCCTTAGCAGAAAACCCTGACTCTTTGGGGCTGGGGTGCTGGTTAATAGCGGGTCTCTCTGGCAGGGCGATCCAGGCCAGGGCAGCGCCTGAGAGGCCCCGCACACAGGTGCCCAGAGCTGGAGGGCTTGTCCCAGCCCACTTGGTCCCGAGCCCCTGTGCTCCAGAGGGGCCCCTGAATCAGGACGTCTTTCTCCTTGCAGGACTGGCACAGGCTGAAGGCTAGACGTGGCGCAGCTTCGTGCTGGGCTTTTTCCAATGCGGGCAGAAAGCTGAGGCAGCAAGGAGATGGGAGGTGGGAAGACTGCAGAGCCCCCCGGGCCCGCCAGCCTCCAGAGTCCTCTGCAGAACAAGTCAGTAAGGGGGGGTAATGGAAGCCGTGCCATCAGCCCCAATCTGTAAAGAAATTGTCAGCAGGGTTATGCGGGTCACAACTACAGTGATTAGATTTCTTTTTTTTAAAGCTCTCCTCTGAGACCATTTTATGAAAAAATTTGGTTACAAAAACCATATCATATCATATAAATGAAAAGGAAATCCCCACGCTGTTGGCTCTAAATGTGTGACGCTATCTAAAATGATGGTGGCTACACGTGTAAACGTCAGGTTCTGGAGGTCTGGCCAGTGGCAGCTGGGCCTGTTCATCCAGGTGACCCAGGAGCCTGGATCCTGACCCTCCAGCCCCTTTGCTTCACCTCCCCTGTCTCTTCCCAAGGGGCCTGGGCTGTCACCTTCTGCTGGGGCAGCTATCAGCTCAAGACTATGTGGCAGATGCTGGTTCTGGGGCCGAACCGTGGTTCCTTAGGTTTTTTTCCTTTCTATTATTAGTCGGTTTCCTAGTTACTCAGCCGGGCCGCAGCTCCTGATTACTCATTGACTATCACAGGGCCATTCACAGAGAACACAGGGCAGACAGTGAATTAAACCTAGTGAAAGTGCAGCCCCTTTGGTGGAAGATCACAAGTCGGTGTGAGGAGGAAAGCGAAAGTTGGAAGGCGCAGTGGGTGCAGGGATGGGATGTACCTGGGCGTAAGTGTGAAGGCAGCTGTGCGCCCCCCCCCACATCGGAGACGGGCGTGTCATAAACAGCAGAGAGTAAAGTGCAAGGAGAGGAATTCAGAACGCAGACATAATTATGAAAAATGATTAACTTACCAAGTCATCCTTTAATGAGAAACAGCACCATTGAGTTTCCTTACAGGCTTGTCTTTATCTACCTTGTGATCCAAATCAATAGTCAACGCAGTCCTCAGTAGTTTCCAGTTGCAAGTTAAACAGATGTCATTTCATCTGAGGTGTATCACTTATTCATTCAGCAAACACAGTCCCAGATGCTGAGAGGACAAAGGCAAATAAAGCTTACTCCGTGCCTTTAAAGGAGTCCAATGAAGTGTGCAGTATTGTTATAATCACACTCTAAATTTTATAACTTGTGGTACTAGGGATCGAACCCAAGGCCTTCACACTGAGCTGCATCCCTGGCCCTTTTTCATTTTTTATTTTGAGACAGGGTCTTGTTAAGTCACTAAGGTGCCCAGGCTGGGCTCAAACTTGTGACTCTCGTGTCTTAGCTTCCGAGAGTGCTGGTAGAAATAATGTAATCCGTTTGAAATCTGGAGTGCGTGTGTCTAGCAGCGGCAGCTATTCTGCTGATTCATATTGGGATCAAGGAATGGAGAAAGTCAAGCTTTAGAACCTGACCCCTCCCCTACTTCCAAATCCATCATTCTTGTCCCTTTGCTGGTGGGCACAGGTACCAGGAATCCACTAGTGGCCTCCTGGCCTCCCAACTGGGTGGTCCCAGCCACCTCCAGTGAGCAGTGTCTGTTTTCTTCTTTAACCCGTTTCCCATTTAGGAGAAAGAAAAAAAGAGTATAGCTCACCGCCAACATTCATGAAATTTTCAGCAATCGAGAATGACTGTTTTGTGAGTGGAAACATCACTCAGAAAAACAGAATGCTGTCAATAAAACGATGTCTTAGTCCCCACTGACTATCGATAACACCACAGTGCCAACATCATAATAAAAGTGAGATGGTTTGTGGCAAAATGGGTTAGGGTTAGGACTGGAACCTGCTGTAACCCTCGAGCTGTCTCAGGGTAACTGCTGCAGACACAAGCGGTGCTGACGCACAAATGTGATGTCCTTTAACGAAGGTTAAACCTTTTCCTAATGCCCCTCACCATTTCTTCCACCTGCTGGCAGCTGCCTTTGTCTCTTGGGTCCCCCAGGGCCATGAAGACAGGACAATCTGACAGAGTCTGCGGAAAAGCCTTAGCTCTGCATCCCTGGGCGTCCAGCCACAGCCTCAGTTTCCTCCTCGTCCTGTGACGTGCCTGCCACACTTGGCAGTCTGAGCAGGAGACAAACCCCTGCAGGTCCCAGACCCCCTGAGTCACCCCTGGTCCCTGTCTGCTCCACGCTCAGTGCAAAGTCTCAGCTCACAGCAGGCAATCAGGTCAAGACCAACCTGCCCATGGGGGCTGCGGTTTCTGTGACTATAATTTTCTGGCCTCTGGTGGGAAAAGGCCAGGGAATGAAGTCCAGAATTGTAAAACCGGAACTGACTTTAGAGGGCTGCTAACTGAGGCAGCTCCTGGCTTCATAGAAAAGGATACTGAGGCCCAAGAAGTATGGAGTCCCGGTCCAGGCTCATGGAGCTGTTTGCTGGCAGGCTGCCACCCGCCTGCGACACTGCCACGCTGACCCAGCCATTTGCCCTTATAAGGCCTTGTTCTCTAAGTCCATAAGCCACCTTGGGAAGCCACCTCGATATTAAACCTGGGGTGACATGCCTTAGGCAAGTCTGAACAGCCATGCTTGTAGCAGGGCCCTGTGGTATCTGTAAAATTGATAATCCCTAAATAAATGTGTCTGAACTGAGTCAGACCTGTACGGATATATGATTTTGCAGTTGTGCATGTTTTTTTTTTTTTCTGAATCACAAAAAAGATTCCCACGTAGGCACTGAACAGAATAACGTGGAGTCCATCAACTATTTAGTCATTGCTGTACTACTCAGTCTAGCAAATGATGAAGGAAAGTGAATTTACGGGCCACTCTGGGCAACAAAATAAAATCTGGATTAAAGGCTAAAAAGTGTAACAGACTTAATCGAGCAGGTAGATAAATCATTAAGAAGTTGGAATACTGAAGTTACACCAATTCTCTGGGGGAATGGCCTCCTAATGGTGGCCAGGCTTTCCCTGCGTCTTCACCGGTGGGTTGCTAGTGTCTGTATCTACTTCAGGTCACTGAGCTCCCAGGTCCCTTTTTCACAGTGGTTACAGAAGGGTACCTGTCTGTGTGCCCCATCCCTGGGATTGCTGTCTTCACCTCTAAATGACAAATGTCGCCACCTTGAACGTGTGCTTGCAGTGCTGGCTGAGCAGTGGCAAGAGGAGGCCCTCTTGCCTTCCAGTCTTTGCTTTCCAGGGAGAGAACCCCCAGGATGGTCTTTGGGGAGATTTTCGTGGGATACTGCAGGAGTCACCCTAGTTTTCCTAGCAAAGAAACGGGCCGTAGAGCACGCCTGTTCCTATTAATTTTCTGCTGTCGCCGTCTTGAAGGCATCGTGAATTTTGAGTAAGATGTTTTCCTTTTGCATTTGGCCTTGTACATTATTCAGCTGGCCCCAGGGAAGGCTTTTCCCAGGCCCGACCAGAGGGAGGTGGACAGGTCACCTGCTCCAAGGGGAAGGAAGCGCTTCAGATAGTCCTTGCTCATTTGACAACAGGAGCTTAACAGATACTTAAAAGAG